TCTTCCCACTCCAACAGCATCCTTCTCTTTGCTGAATATCTCAGATACATTTAATGCTCTGTATAAACACCTTCTGAAATACTTTTCAATTTGTTAGAGTTGCTTTTCATAATTCTCATAATTTATGCAGCCATGGTGCAGAGTGGAAAGTATATATCCATTAACAAAGTATCTCTGGTGACATGTTGTCCTAACCTCTGAATACTGCTAAGATGAAATCCTCTCCCTAGCTGACATTTATATTAAACTGTTTGCAGTAGTTATTCATGAATATAAGTCCTGAATAAAATCAATTCCAGTTTAGCTATACAGCTTCTGCCTTGGAAGCCACAATATCCTGACAAAAAACATATATCCAGGAAGGAGATTATAGATTACATGCACCTGTTTTTGAGCTTCCCAGGTTTGTCAGATCTAAGCACTAAGTTAATGTAAAATACTACCAACATCCTGCGTGAGCAGAATTTTTATAAATAGCATAAAATAAATGCTGTGAAGCTTAGTTTATCTAGCAGCAATCCGGTACATCCTCTCCTCAATGCTTATGGTTTGGTAGAGAAACATTTGTTTTAGAGGGGTTCTCCACTCTATTCATTGGCACAAATAGCAAAATATCTACAGTCGTACTCCCATAGGACTCTGAGGACCTGTCAACGTATACTAATTCCAAGGCTGTATTGCAAGACCCCTCAGAAAGCTCTGGTTCTGATGTGACGTTTCTTTTCCCTTGATAGCCATTGTTATACACATAACAGTGTGCTCCCTACAGAGAGGGCCAGAAGAAAATACGTCCAAGAGACGGGAGACATGATTACAGACAAAAGACTTAACAAAACACGGACCACGCACTCACTTAAACAAAAGATGAATTGAATAACCATTATAGTTTACAGACCAAATTCCTGGATGTGTCTGTAACATGATGAAAAACACACCAACAGCAAAGCAGCAAGATCTCAGGCCACAGCAAACAAGGATTCACTCAAATGCAACAGCAGCAGGTGCAGAAATAAAAGAAAGAAGCAACGTACCTTCACAAGTCCTCATGCACATGAAGATCTTCAAAAAAAATACCCTTGCCTCCACTGCCAACCATTTAATGAGGTCTGGGAAGGGATGCATCCTAGCTCCACCCTTTCCAGTCACTCAGGTACATTGCATTGCATGCACCTGAGCTTCCCTGGGTTGTCTCTGCCTTCCTACCAGGTGCTCAATCACTGTTTCAAACCCCGGCTTAGCATTTTCACTACAGTGTCCACATTCAGAGGGAATCTAAACAGTAATATCTCATAATTCATACCTTCCCCTTGTCCTCTCCATGCATACACAATATCAGCTTTGAGTTTTGTATATCCTGGTGGGTTCTCTCCCACCAACACGCAGCCAGGCACGTTGCATTCCTATGCTAAGTCTATCTATGCCTGCATATAAAAGGAGCATAGTTGTAGGGCATTTAGCATGAGGGTTAAATGTTTTGAAAGTTGAAATTGCTGTTTTTTCATCTACCTTCAATACCACTATGCGACGTGAGCCCCATGGCACTTTAGGACCTGCTTAATGCTCACATCCCCTCTAGTCTGTAGTTAGAGAGAAAGGAGAAATGTTGTAATTTAGCCTTAATTCTCAAAGTTTCTAATTTCAACCACTTCATCTTCTGAATTTATTTCCCCCTATAACTTCTCTTCAGAATTCAATGAGGAAGCTCTGAGGCAAATAACAAGAATGATCCATCAGTTTGTCAGGCTGGGAAACAACATTCTGTTTGGGAGGTGAAGTCACTGTGTATGTGGTCTAACAAAGTAGAAATTATTCAGTGAACTCGGGGAATATTGAAATAGAGCATTTTGGAGGGACCACCTTCTGTAGACACACGGTTGTGAAATCCTCATTTTGTTTCCCTGCCCCAATAGATTAGGAGAAAAATGAAGGAAAAGAGGTTTTTGGATGAGATATTCAGGGGCAGGAGGTGTGGCAGGGGACAGGTGGGAGCAGGGAAAGCACTTGACTCCTGCGCTGGCACTGAAGGTTGAGCTGTGACTGAATTAGACATACTGGTACCCTGGGTGAAACTGAACCATCTTCTATCCGGCATCAGCAAAAATCCTTAATAAATCAGTGTTTTTCCAACCAATCTGTATTTGCCTAATGCTTACTTTTCTCTTGGATGGATTAACGAATCTGCTTTTTGCATTGCTCTGATTGTTTGAAGCAGTGACAGTGGAAGAACTCTCTGTATCACTGTGTATCATCTAAAAATGCAGGAAAAACAAACAGCTAACTGAGATATTTGACTTTTACATTTGTTCAGGAAATTCCCAACCAAAACTGACTGGGACAGGTTTGTCGGCTGCACTTATGCTGAGTTTTACTGATTGTTTGGGAAGCACCAAAAGAGAGACTTAACATTTCCAACCAACTCTCTTGAGCACCTAAAAAACTGCAGAGTGTAAGGCGAGGCAAAGCATGAATCCACACCTGGAAATGAAGGATTGGCAAATCAGAAACATCTGAAGTGGGAATGGGGTTAGACATTTTTGTAAGATGAGGTACAATACGAACAGCTCAATTCCCATGGTAGCTTTCTGAAAAGTGAAATAAGATTTAATGTTTTCATTTGTTTACTTACACGTTTAAAGCAGTTTATTTTTTAAAGTGTCTGTAGCACACGTCACTGCTTGCTGATGTAATTTTCTTAAATTGCTGGCTGGTTTTGCAAGCCTCTGTCTTCACATTTTTCTTTCAACTTGATATTTCAAGCCTATGTAGAAAATTACCCACAAACCAAAGATATCTTCTCTGGAACTTACAACTTTGCTGTGTCTTCACTCTGGCAAAGAACAGCAAAGACTTTTCCCTTTTGAATGAATGAGAGAAGTCATCAGAAAAGATTTATTTCTGCTGCCCCATTTTTCTTATTTACTTCTAACATTCTACCCATTTGCCATGAGCTTCTTCACATTTCCAAAACAGCCAGTCTTCTGTGAGGACAAATTGTGCTATTTACTTCTGTTCTCAGAGGAAACTAATGGTGCAGTGGGTGAAATGTGCAGGACAGTAAGGAGAACTGGTGCTGTGTATTCCCAGCTGAAGAAATATATCTTAAGTAAATTGCTCTCAACTGAAATCATGGAATGTCATGGAAGCAGAAAGTGATTTGTATTCTGCTCTTTGTGTTTCTGAATCTCAGAGCCTGCCCATGGGGAGGAAAAGGAAGGCCTGGGCATCGCTATGTAAATCATTCACTTTTGCAGGGGTGAATGTCAAAAGGAAAATGGATTTTTATTGTATTTTTCAATGCAGTGTTTACTAATTATCTTTAATATATTTCCCTGTTTTAAATCAAGAAGGGAACAGCAAATTATACAGGAAAGAGAAATTAAGTCATTTGAAATTGCAAGTATAACTGTGCTGTCAACAGCTTAGCTCCCTGATTTGGGCTAAGCCTCAGTCCTACACGCTTATCAGTTAATATTCTTGGGCTTGCTCGGTAAGGCTTGGCTTGTTTCAACGTACACCAAAATCCAGGATTTGGGATGGATTTGTTCAAATTCCAGTTCTACTCCTTATTGGGCCAGGTCTGAAGCACACTGCCATCGAAGGACGTCTCCTTCAAACGTTCCTTCAATCTCCAGTATGCGGAGATGACATTTTGCTGCATGGAGCCTGCCTGGTTCATTCTACAGCTTTGAAAGGGTATTTTTAGATTTGAAGATAGAAACATAAAATGATAATTTCAAAGGTGCGTAGGTGCAGTGAGGCTCTTCCTGCGATGTTTCGGCAGTGCTGAAAAGTCATTTTCAAAAACCTCATTAGGTGCCTCCACGCCTTTGAAATTCAGGCTTTTAGTGCTGCTATGTGTATTTAACATGATTAGAAACGTCTCCCAAATGATCTTTTCCAACACTTCCTTTGCACATTGCATAATTTCATCTGACATTTTGTTGACAGTCACTAGTATATTCTTACGTTGAGTCTGGCAGCAGGTGAATCTTGATTAGGAATTTGCCATTTCCTTTGCAAATATGTACATCTTTATGCTAACATAATACGACTCTTGATGTGTTTGATATATAAAGAGTTCGATAAACAGGAAAGCAATTTCCATCATGAACATGGTTATCATCAGAATCTTTTTTTTTTTTTTTTTTTAATTGTAGGAATGAGTTGTGGCTGTGAGGAGATTTCGATTGAACCATTTCTGTTTTCTGTTTCCTTCCAGCGTTTCTTGCAAGATGAATAAATTCTGTGGTAAGAATAAGACGTACTTTCCATAGAGCAGATGCTCTGTAAGCCTAGTGTGGATTGCCAGGATTTGAGCACAGGCCAGGCAAAATTCATTTCCTAAATCCAAATAGAATTCTGGATGACTTATAGTATCAGTATGTATCTTTGAGAGAAGTTTAAAATTTGAGGGGCTTGAGTTTTGTTTGAGAAAAGAAAAGCTGAATCAACAGCTTTTCTGGGTGGGTATTGAAAAGTGAAAAACTCTGAGTTCTGAAGGCCAAATTTCTGCCTGCCCCATCTGGGAGCTGGGGTGCAATGGTGCAGCTAGGGTGCAATGGTGCAGCTGGAGCCTGGCAGCTTGCTGAGTTCTTTGCCTCTCTTGGGCTCAAACACACAACTGCGACGAGTCAGCAATTAATTCTCTGTTACTTAATGATTTTCTTCACCTAACTCTATGCATGTAACTGTAAGAAAGAGAAAAGAATCATTACGCTGACCGGACAGGCCTATTCTCAACACAGAAAATGTCATCTTTTGTTGAGCTAGAATCTTCTTTTGCAATTTCTAGGATAAGAATAAAGCAATTCCTATTTTTCACAGGTTTTCTGCTCAAATTATTTACTATTTGGAACAAAGGGTGTCATTTGTTATGCATTTGAACAGTTTTTCCTGTAATTGAGTCTTTGAATAGTTTAGGAGGTTATTTAGAACATAAATCATAGCTACGCATTAGGCAGAGGGAAGAAAAGGTTTTATTTAATTTTGCATACCCACAGACCTGTAAAATTAAACAAATTGCAGAAGAAAACCAGCACAAATCTTCTTCTGATATTACAGTGCAGCAAACATGCCATCTGTTACCAGCACTCTTCCTATCCACTGATGAGTCCCAAAGCACATAAGAAAAATGGTCTTTGTGAGACCCTCCGAGAAATATGTACCACCAACTTGAGAAATTGAATCAGGGTAATATTAGAATGTGAAGATGCTGCCATGGAAATCCAGTTATGATCTCTTACAGGATTTATTATTGTTGCTTTGAGAACTTAGTGTGGAAGCAAGCCCTTCCCAAAGAGCTCAGTTAGTTTGGTAGGCGGTCTTAATCTAAATGCTACTGAGAACTTCACTTTTATTACTCTTCTTTCTTCCTTTCCTTTTGTAGTATTGCTTTTCCTAGTGAGCTTTATGGAACTCTCCATAAAAATGCAGCAGATCTTGCTGACCCTAACATCTCAGAGGAAACATTCAACCGTATGACATCAGACAATTGTTTGCATGGAGTTGACTTGAAATATTTGATATCAACTGTTCTAATATAAGGACAATGAAACTCTATGCTTTGAGGAGTGGAGATCAACTTTTTAGCAGTTTTGTATAAGTACAGACCTCCTCCATGCATTCAATCATACGATGAGACATATGATTGAATTTTACTTATCAAGTGGTGGGATACAGTTTCTTCTAACGTCTCCTCTCATTTGAAGTTATTTGAAGCGATAAGCTCAACAGATGCTTGTGTTGCTAGGTGATCCCAAACCACCCCAGACAGCTAGCGGCTGGCTTCGTGTTAATCTAAACTATTTTCATTAGCTTTTCTAACAAAACAAAAATCTTAAAAATGTCTTAATGTTTTACTCTTTAAAAAGAAGTACTTTGAAATGAAGCAGCGGGGAAGTAAAAAATAGAAACAAATTTGCTTTGAAATGTTGAAACAAAATAAAACGCTTTGATGTCTCTTTAAACTTTTTTCCTGAGAGGAGCCCATCTTTTGAATTATATACAAATAGTTCAGTTGGCCTGAATCTGCATTTTTCAATACATACATTCTTAGACCAGCCAATAGTAAATACACACATTTAGGTGGTCTGTTTGAGCAATGGATTGTGCAGAATTTATTCTGATGGTTTTCTTTAATGTTAAAAACAAATGTATGGGTGTACCGCTGTAAGCAAGCTTTCACATTGTTCTGCAGAAGAAATTGATGCATAGAGTACTCAGATATATATCACAAACTCTGCTGACAGATCCTCTGTAGTTTGGGAAATTCCTGTACATACACCTCTAAATAAAGATACACATGTCAGGATAAAAGAGTCATTTGTTTTTATGTATATGAAAGCAAATCTCTTTTTTCAAGGCAAGATACTTGTGTGCTTTCTATTTTTTGTTTTATTTACTTTCTTCTATTTTTAATACCCTTTTTCTTTAGGTTTTATATAACGTATGTATTTGACAACATAGTCTGGCTGAGACTAATTTAATGGGAAAGGCAGACATTCTTATTTTTAGATACATGATCTAAGTAAATGTTGAAAAATGTACAGTAAAGCTAAGTTTTCTCTTATAGCATTTCTATTCTCATGCTGTTTCACAAGGTTTCTTGTTTTCTTGCTTGTTGTGAAGTCAACACATCTTGACATTTTGACAGCTTATTTTATTGTTAAAGGGGACACCTAAAGACAAAAATATACACGTCAATGTATCTTCTCACTCCCTCTTAGCCTCACAAAACTGATTGTAAAAGATTTTGATCTGCTGGATCTTTTTCTACATATGCAAAATAATTTTTAAAAATATTCATTAAAAACCATGCGTAGCTATGCATGAAAGCCTTGATCTGAATTGACAAAACGCAAGGGATCCCGGTTAAAGCAGCTACAGATTTTCCCATTTTGTAGCACATCTGTTTCTGTAGCCAACACACATTTCTGGCCCCATAATACCTGTCCTAAATTGGATAAACATAAGGTAGAATGACAGTTTTGCATAAGTGACTCCAAATAGCACAGTGTTAGTTCAGCTGAGGCCACGTCTTGTAGCAATATTACAGTCCCAAAGTACATTAACCAAATAATGGAGTTGTATAAAAATATTCTAAGTCCAAAATTAACAGTGTATACATATATGCACACATACAATATCATGCTACTTCATGCTTTTATTTGTACAGGTACTGGGTACATGAATTAAATAATCTTTTCACATATTTAAACGACCTGTCTAATCCAAGGATTCAGCATTGCAAACTCCTGCTGAAAAAACTGCTGCCATGTGGTTTTAAATTCCTTGAGATGTTCTTTTTTCCTAATGGCAAGAACATGCTGAAATGTTTATCAAGTCTTATTCTTTTCCCTAAGAAACTCAAAGTATAATTATGTTTCATAATTATCCGCCATCGCCTCTAACAGCATTGTTCACCCTCTGGACCTGTTGTTCTGTTGCTATTCTACCTGGCTCAGTGAAATTATCTTTAGCTTACTTAAACAATATTAATCCCATAAAAAGTGATTCAAATAACGCCACCAGCAAAGACACAACATTCTCATAATATCTTGCTTATGCTGTGGCATTATGTCCTCTTGGCTATAATTAAGTTATGTCAAGAGGATTGTCAATCTGTGGCTAGAAGCAAGGCAGTAAGGTATGAGGTTGTTCCATTTCTGCCTTGGTTACCAGCTCAGATGAGCATTCACCCTCACTGTGCTTCTGGGAGTATTTTAGGAGCACCTTCCTGACCTGCTGAGCACTAGGCTGGGCCGTGGGAGGGTTGCTCATGTGGGCCTGGCTGCCCTGTCTTCAATCATGTACCCTGAGTGAAGGAAAACAATACTGTTCTGGCTTCTATTTGGCTCTCAGGGTCCAAAGTTTGCTTTTAATTAGCAGAGTAGTGCCATTAACCACTTGTGGAACATCACCCATTGAAACCAATGTTGGGAGTAAAAGAGACTGTATTTGGTCATCTGTTAGTTCTACTAGCATACTAAGCCTGTGATTCATGTAGCACAGAGTGCTTTAAATGCTAGATTTAGTAGTTCATTATCCATTTAAGACTCAAAGCAAACCACTATATTCATTGTATTCTCTTCTTCATACTTTAATTATTACTTTAGTAGTTGGCAAGAATTTTAGATGTGCTGCACCACATCCTTTGTTAGTGGTAATTCTTCATATTATGCAGCTATCTACTTCTTTCAAAATGGTGAAGCAATGTGATCACAATTCCTAAAGATTTGGGAATTAAAAATATTTTACAAAAATTGTCTTCATTTTAACACAATCTTTGCCTTTTTCTGGGAGACAACTTTTGAATAGAAGCATTTGGGAAAACAAGATGTTTGTACATTTATGAGGAATTGAGTCTATTTAAAATTTGGCCACACTGCAAATTGAAGGTGTCTTGTGTTTGTTGCCTTTAGATGCATCCAATTAAAAAATAAAAGAGGCCATGAAATTGTGGTGAAATTTAGAGCTCCAGAATTTGAGGTGAGTCTGGAGATTACGTTCCTTCTCATCCATGCTGTAGTCTCAGTAAATGAAATGACTGTATGTTCTATGTCTTCATTTTCTGAAAGCCAATCCTGGTTTCTTTTGTAAGAACAAGTTTAGGAATTTGCAGTGAATGCAAATTGAAGTTCTTGGTACTGGATGTGCTGTCCATCTCCTCTTTCAAACAGCAGTCTTTCTTTACCCGAAGTATTCAAGATCTACATGAAATTCTGTGGGTGGCATTTAAAAACAATGTGCTCCAAACTGAAGTTAGCTTACAGTATTGTTAATTGCCTCCCACAGAAGTTCAAGTGGATTTTGAATTGAGGAGGGTACAAGAATATCTGAAGTGTTCTGGTGTTTAAAAAAAAATGATTGACAAATTGCTTTTGTACATTGAAAGCCCTAGCTTTTCTGTGTTAAATGCTTAAACTATATTGTGCTCCTCAGAAATGGAACTTCATTTCTGAGTATAATCTTATTTCATCATATAAGACATTCATAATTCCTTTCAGAATAGTTTATTAGGATGTTGGAAAACAGTCAAACACTTAGCATATTTTGTCTGCAAATAGGGAAAAACTATTAATATTTGATGATAATATTTCTGTAGTAGACCAAACAAAATTCTCTGCAAAGTGCAGTAAAATGCATAATAGCTGAACCTGCAGAGGAAATGCCCTGAAATCAGTATGAAATTATCTCATTTTTAAAAATGTGGTAAATCATGTGACTACTATAGCAAATAATGTACGTAGTGAACTTGGATTTTCCATATTCAGTTGCAAAATGAATGATCTGCAGGCAGAAGGGGAAGACAGAATATGCTCACAGAAGGGCTGGAAGGGCAGAAAGTAGCTTCTGCCACTGTAGTGAAGCCATACATGGCAAAGCCATCAAACCTACTCAGTGTATCTGTAATCTATTGAGATTACAACCACAGAAAGAACACGTCAGCTTTCCCACAAACAAGGTATATTTTGTAGCATTTCTAACAGGCAAAAGGGTGGATTTTAACTTGAAACTTTGCACTAAAGTTTCCACCAGTGTATTTTGCTTTCTATTATTTTTAAGAGTGACAGGTTCATGTAGGATTTTATTTGGTGGTAGAGAGAAATGGAAATGTGGGGGAAAAGTCACCAGGTCAGATAGAGCTTTTAAGAGCTCTCTTGATACAGGTTGAAGTGGTTTTAGTGTTAAATTCAGGGAACATAAGTAGAAAAGCACAAGCACACTTGTTTATAAGATAAAGTTGTGCATAGCTGCCTCTTTAAAAGTTGGAGGAGAGAAAAATATGAAAAATTAAAGCATAAAATACACCTACATTGTGTTGGGAAGTACCATCACCCAGTGTGTGGGTATTTGCAAGTCAAGGACTTCTCACCTGTGGATTTGTTCCATCAGATTAATAATTATTGCACCTTTCTCCAGGAAGAATTATTTCAACTGTCAGCACAGACTCAGTTTGTCAGATGGACTGCAGATACCATTGCAGGAACACAGAGTGTCTTCATGAAGAGGTTTGACGTATATTGTCCATATAAGCTCTGAAACACAAATAAAATTTCAGATTTACTTGGAAAGAAGTGATGATTTCTCCCTAGGTTTATTTTCCTTAGATAGCCCTCTCTTCAATACCTTTCTCTTTATTATTTAAGAATTTCCAAAATCTTTTAATCTGGTTTTTAATCATTTTAGCTAAAATTCATAGTGCAGCTTATCTGTATGAAACCCAGAGATGCTTCATGGTTGAATTGGGAATGCATAAAATTCCCAGTGTTCTTCAGCTGTTGCATCATTTTCAGAGGAACCCTGGCAGCTCTAATGGGGAAAAGATTAAAGAGCTCCACAGCAAGCATATCAAATAATTGCTGATTTCACAACAGTGAGGGGAAAAAAAAAGAATCCTACAATGTTTAGCAGAAAGGCAATAGGATTTATTACTACCAAAACCACTGAGTCAGCACAGTAAGCCTGCACATCTCTCTTGATCACATAACCTCACATTTTTAGAAGTAAACATGCATTCTGAGCTCTCTGTTTCTTCTCTTAATGCTGCTTCTAACTGCCGGTTCAATCCTTTCTGTGAGGCTGAGTACTGGTTTATATTGCTAATTTGCTCACCACTTTTCTAGCCTGTTCAAACAATGTGCTGCACCCCACCAATAAGCCATGAAAGCTGTTCAATCCTCAGTACCAGAAACCACCCAGGAAACTTCTCTGCAAGATTTACAGGAAGATTTGCAGGGAACTGACAGAGGATCCTCAGCACACAAATGATGTTTTCTCAGTATTCACCCATGTGCATTCAAAGTGTCTGAGGACAGCTGGGATGGATGTGTGATGGATTTTGCTACAGGGCTAAGTTTTGGTCCTCACTTGTGTGCATAAGAGTAGCAGTGGGAAAACTGCAGATGGTTGCTGTTGTTTGGTGGGCTTATCTGTGGATTTTTTCCTTTTCTGTTTAAAAAAAAAAAAAAAAAAAAATCATCAGAAAGGGCTGCAGTCCTTTTTTGCAGTCTCACAGTCAACCACTGTTCAGCCAGTGCTCAGGAGCTAGTGAAGAATTGTGGTAGAAGGATTTTCTTTTGCTCCCGCCTCACCAGTGGCAAAATGATACCAAAAGTCAGAAATTCCTGAAGAGACAGAGAGAGAAGGAAATTGTTTGGAAAAGCCTGTCAGAGAAGGAGTGCTGTGTTGTATGCATCTTGAGGATGCAAACCAACTTGGTGCCATCAAGTGCACAGGGTTTTTATTCATTGTGGCAGAAAGCTTTTTCTCTGCCATGCCCTTCCCTCCAGCCATCACTTAGCCTCTTCACCATGGGCTAATAGCATAGCCTTGTTTGGGAAGTCAGTCCGTGGCTTGTGCAGGGAAACAACTGCTGCAGTTCAGCAGCAGAGGACTATCCACTAAGGACATCTCAGGCAGCACAAATGAATGCTTGAAACCAATTTCTCTTGTTTGTTTGAACACAATTATTGAGAAATAAAAATAAAAAGCCATTTTGTTCTTCACTTCAAGAATCTCTATATTTCAGATCTCTGTAGTAGGTTTCTGAAAGCCCAATGGTTAATGAAATTAAATGTTAGGAGTGAATTTGACCTGATGATGAATGCCTTGGAGTCTGCTTATTGACTTCTTTGGAGGAGGTCATAAAATTGTTTGGCCATGCATGAAGTTAAATTCTCCCATTTTCTGCTCTTTGCACTTTAAAGAGGTTTTGTTATATTCTTTCATTTTTTCCCCCCATTTCTGTTTTGTAATAATACTTTGCCTGTTTCACTAATACGTTCTGGCATGGCAAATTTATTACATTCTTTCCCATTTGTCCCAAGTCTTTCATTTTATTTTTAAAAATGGGTGGAGTGGGAGGACTTTCAGAGTTGGCAGATGTTCTGACAAGAAAACTGCTAGCAATAAATGTGTTCACAGGGTCTAGCAACTTCCAGCATGCAAGGGTTTCAGTGGGTGGTGGTAGGTTTGCACCTAATGTGGGCCATTCCAGGAAGCACTCAGTCCTGCTGTTGGATGGCATTGTTGGGAGAATCCAAGATGATGCAATGGTGTTTGCAGGATTGGTCTGAGCCCAGGGGCTGAGTCCAAATCAATCAATCCCCACCAAATCAATCTAGAGCAGATGACTTCCACTTCAGTGAGATGGGAAAGTGGTTCCATGCAGCTTGGTTAGATCTAAAATAGCTGACATAAAGTGCTGGATTTCTGGATATTCTCCTCCAAACCCCACTCTTAGTGAAAGTTCCAGTGCCCAAAGACGCTATCCCAAACCCAGAGTCATTCTGAGTAACACATTATCCTCCCAGCTTCCCATCCTGAGGTTATTTCTAATCCTTTTCTGCAAAGTATGCAGCCTAGCTAAGCTATTAAATAAGGAAGAGGCTGCAGAGTACTAAAAATATTTGAATTGCTGCCTTTTCACATTCTGTCACTGCTGTTTAATGGGTCTTCAGAAGCAGGTTCATTGTTTCCTCAGCACATTGTGGTGTGAGGCATTGCAGATAGATTTTTTTTCTGCCCCCAAAAGTCCTATCTGTGCCCCATTGGGGATCAAAACGAATGCTGATTTCAAATTAATGAGCAGGGTGCATTTTTCTGACAACCTATTCACTTCAGTAACACCATCACCTATTTCTTGGGATGGGTTTGTTTCCCAAATGGTCAATTAGCTGAAGACAAAGTGCACTCTCCCAACATCTTTATTTCTGTGACCAGATCCGATCCTTTTGGGTACATCATTTGTCAACACGTCAGCGATGTGAGCTTGCTGGGGGTTTCTATGAGCCTGAAAATATTCTTAAAAGATGTTCTTTCATTACTGAGTGTAGATTTAAACCAAATGCTTTTGAAGTAACACTGTTAGGCTTTGGAGACTTCTGAAGTTGACAACAAAAGAGATGACTTAGAAGTTAAAATTCCTTTGTTTCAGCAATAATGCTTTTTTTTTTTTTTTTTGTCCCCCCCTGTTGTCAAAATGTGTGACTTGAAATTAAAAAGAAAGAAAAAATTGTCTCGGTCCTCCTATTTCTCTTCAGGAAGAAAACTCTTTTCCCATTGACAGATAGCAGGGTGCAACACAGTTATGCTCCTGTCCAGAGCAACGTGATTTTGGGAAGTTTTTTTTTGGCTGACCATTCTCCTTTTATATATTTCCTTGTCTCTTTGTTCTTCTAGTAGCACGGCAGTAAAAACTTTAATTATACCCGAAAGTTAAACCGAGTAACAGCTCAGTCATCTTGCAGTAAAAGCTCTCTTTATTCCATGGATCCTGTTTAAATTAAATATTTATAAGGTACATATAAGGTAAATAAGAATAAAAGCAAGGTAGTTGCAGTAAAGGGACTGAAGGACTAAAGTTTCTCAGCAGCATTTTCTCACTGCTTACAGTCTTTCTTTGCTGTTTGACTGCTGCGTGTTTGGGAATTGCTGCAGATTTGCCACGGAAGAGTATTATTTTCCTCTACAGCAGATATTGAGCACTATCTCCAGTGAGCATCTCAGCATGAGGGTGATGCTCTCACGCACATCTTGTGATAAGTGCATAGCTGATACTTTCTATTTTATGCGACAGTGAAACAAATGGAAGGATTTTATATATATATATATATGTATATATATATATATACACACACACACACACACAAAAAAAAAAAATATATATATATATATACACACGAGAAATTGAAAATGACTTAAAAATCACAAAATATCCGGCTGCAGGACTTACTTATTTTGTCATTGTTATTGAAGGTAATTACAAATATATTGAGACCATACAACTTTAAGCCTTGCATTACAGAGGGACAGGGATATTAAATTCCTTGATAATTTAAAACAAACTCCAAAGGACAAAGGAAGCACTTGGAATGTAGCCATACATCGAGAATGTACCCATATATCTACACAACTAAGCAGGGTGCTAGAAAGTTATGCATGGGATTGCATGGCACGTAGGTAACTGTTCCATTCTAAGCACAGATGTCCATAAAAACAAATATCCTCAATCTCTAAACATGTTATCTTCTTACAGAGTCACCATTATATGAAAATAGTGTTGTTTGTAACACTACAATGAGCTATTTTTATTATCTGCATTATACACATGCAGAGGAAGAGAGAGAAAAATGGCATCTTTTGTCTGGCAACTAAATGTTTCCCAGTGGACACAATCAGTTTTCTGGAATATGCAAATAGATGTCTCTGTGAGCAAATATTTAACATCATAGACACTTTTTGTAAAGGTATATGCTACACATGAATATGCAATCCACATTTCTAGCAGTTGGAAATACTTCCTCTCTGGGACTTTGCTTCCACACAATTTAAAAAAATAAAATAATCAAAAAACAAAAAACAAAAAACCCAGGACATTCTGATTCATTACTCAATATGTAAAGGAACTTTCACACAATCTATGTTGGAAATGCATAACTTTTAAGTTTTGACATTTTCAGTGCACAGTCATTAAAAGAAAAGCTCATTTTGATTTTCTTTCCTTTGTTTAAGGAAAAATCATTTCCTTTTTCACCCATATATTTATGCGTATTCTCATAAATATGCATTATGGTTTGCTGAAAAGGATATTCACTAACATCTATTAGTAATAAATAAATAAAAGTCTCAAGGGAATTATCTAGCAGTAGGTGGATAATTCTAACTTTTGTTCTTCCCTTGCAAGGAAATATTGAATAGAAGGAAAGCATGAATTAACCTTCCAGGACTGTAATGCAAGGCTTGATAAGAAATGCATTAAAATGCATTATGAGACAAAAACCTGACCCAAAATTCTTTTCATAGGATATTAATGAGCGGTTCTATTTATATATAATATGTCTGTTTAAAGTGAGCCTGGCTAAACCATGTTTATAAGCATACCCTCAGGTGTAAAAATGACTGGGTCAGATTTTAACTACATGCTGACATTCCTTGCACTCCTATGCACTGTAACTTCAGGTATGTAGGCAGTGTTCCTTACCACTGTGTCACCCAGACCTGCCACATCTCAGAAATCTTAATACACTTGAATCATGTTTAAGGCATGCTAGAAAATTCCGCTCCGAGCACAAGGACCTGAGGTGTTGCCCCAGTGAAATACAGCACATGACCTAAAAGCCTCTGAGCTCTTCTCTTGAGCAAAACACAACCAGCATAAGATGCTCAAAAAAGGGATTTAAGTTAACTTTGCTGTGCCAGACTCCCGATTCTCTCCCCTCTTCCTCAGCAGTATTATTTAGCATGCATTTTCAGTTTCAATAAGACCCTTCATTAATGATCATCTTATTAATATCCTTTAGTTTCAGAAGCAGTTTCATTTCTCACTATTTTATTAAAAACATCTCTTTCTGCTTTGTTTGCTGGGTGCTGCCATGCAGAATCATGGATTCATAGAATCATAGAATTCTATGAAGATGCTAAGAAGATGCTAAGATGACACAAGCATGTAGCAAGCTCTGTCAGGAGCTTTGCTAGTGAAGAAAACATCAGAACTTCCATTGGTGACCAACACCCCCAACCAATGCCAGCTCTCACCATCAGTGTTATTGCTTACTTGTGAACTTACCAGTCAGCAGAGGGAAAAATCCAGTTAACCTATGGCAAAAAGGCTCCTCAAGTCACCTCAGCATTGGGTTGTTCCAGAAGCAAGTCATTTTCTCCATGTTTCTATTTCAGAGTTTGGAAATTTTAAAGTCTCCTTGCATTATCGATACACAAATGAAGAAAAGCACATTGGAATTGTTTCAGAGGCTGACACACAATCACACAAATGGGGAAACAGGGAGATACACGCAGAAAGAATGGTGGTATCTCCAGCTACATTCAACGTACCTTTTGAATCGAAACATTCCGCCTTGCCTGTAGGATGTTCTATGATAAAACACACTGAGACTTCAGTCAGTAGTTCTGTTTCACATCATTTCATCCTTCCGGGTCTGCTGTCTTTATGTGCAGCACTGTCCTCTGAGAAAGAATTCTCTCTGTGGAAGTATTCATGAACAATTTTATAGGCAGAGTTCTATTTATTTTTACACACGTACTAGGTAAGGAAATAGTCTCCATGTGGGAGATGATAGTAAAAAAACGGGTGGGATTTATGATGAGAAAGGGTATTTCCAAAGAGAAAAAGTACCTTGATAAGTGCACCAAGCCTGAAACTGTCACATTCATTATGAATTGCCTCAATCAGTGCAGAACATAGTTTGAAACTTCGAGCAAGATGGGACTGATATTACTAGTCAATGCATAGTGAATTTATTCAGAATTTCTGTTCTGAATTCATCCCAAAAGGTATTAAGATTCTGTTACCTGAGCTTGTATCAAAGTAAAACTCACTAAATGCATGCACTTAGACCTGAGATAATTATCAGGTTAGAATATGTGAAGTTGTGAAAAAAAAAAAAAAAAAAAAAAAACCTTCAGACCATGCTGAAATTATACTTTAACATGTTTGATTGGAATTTTTTTTTTTTGTTTATGTTAATATAATATATTAGTATTATTTGCGTAACCACGTGTTCTTTTGAGTAATAATTAAATTGGGTATTTAAAGGAAGACTTGATACGTTGGCAGGAATATTTTCTATTAGATGCAGAATTTTTACAGTTCATTAACAGAACCTCTCTATAAATAATAGATAGATAATTTGGGATTGGTTCCTAGCTAAGTGACACAGTTGGTTGCGTGTCACAGTACTCTGGCTGCTCGGTCTGAGAATTTAAGAGCTGTTTTTGTGTGCAGCCCCTTTTTGCATTAGCAGTCATCCAGACACTTGTCACCAGGAGAAACACGCTTCAGATTTGTATATAAAGGCTGCTGAAACCCAGAACAACCCAGTTGTCATTTTTTTCCCCTCTTACATCACCAGAGATTGTTTGCAGGATCAGAGGGAAGCAGAAAAGACAGACATAAGCAGGTGTAATGATGAAAAAAGTGCCAGTCACAATAAGCAGTTTGTCATCGTTTTCGTTTTAACTCCTATTGCTGATTTAGTCATCTTGAATTTTTTGAGTCCCAGCAGAAAAGTGGAACATCTTTAACGGTGTCTGTCACCCAGAGGGAGTAACCTAAAAGCACAGCAGCAGGAAGTGGGATGTTTCATCCCTCTGCTCCCATTGGAAAGAATGATCCCTTTGGCCACTATCCCTGTATTCTGTCCATGCAGAATGGGTTTTCTGAGTGGAGAAGTGGTGTAAATCTAGTAATAGACTTTGCTCTTTGCTGACAGGCAGTGCCAACTGGACCTCTAATTTAGACAGTGGAGTCAAGTGAAAGCTCTGGGCAAGCTGACCACAGCACATGGAGTATGGTGGCCCAACCCTATCCCTGAAGTGGTCAGGCAGTTAGACTTGATGATCTTTGTAGATCCCTTCCAACCAAACTACTCTAGTCTATTCTACTCCATTCCATTCATTAGTATTATACCGAAGATTTCTTCTGTGGTTATATTCAAAAACTAAAGAGTAAACAAGGTGAATAAAACTATCCTTATGGGGAAAAAAAGAAGCTATTTCACATAAGATATAAGGTGTAGTTATGCAAGAGTTACAGGAGAAATAGGACAAGGATACAAGAATGGGGTAGCTATCCAAGAGTTCAAAGGTAGGCAGCTGATCAAAGGTTAAATACAAAAAGGAATTACTGTATTCAAGTTGAAGATAGGACACGTTAACCTAAATAGATGTATAGCTTCAATTAAAACTCTTGGAAAAAGCTTTTGTGCTGTGGGTAAATTCTGAAAGTCAGGCAAACTTTTTTTATGACTTGAAATGTTATAAGGAAAGAGAGTGAGAGATTAGGCTATCGGTGAAGAATGGGATATCTCAATTTTCATTTGAAAATGCTTCGAGTTATAAAAGGTGGAGGGCAGAACTGATTAGATCCATTTAAAATTGCAGTGTGCAGAGGTGGCATGAAAATATTTCCTTTTCTTAAGTTAGAGGTGGAATAGGTAGAACCCTTAAAAGTATTTTCTCCAGACTGATAGCAGCAGAGCGAACAGAAAGGAAAGGCTTGCAGTGAAAATGAGAATAGGAGGAGCTGAGGGAGAGATTAGCTCAATTGTGAGAGGAATTTCATTAAAGGAATCAGATGAAAACTCGTAGAGGAAACAAGAGCTGCCTGGTATTTAAAAAAAAAATAACAAAACATGCTTCCAAAGCATCACTGCTTGCTTCAATAGAAAATGAATTGGAGAATACTGAATAGCAACAAATTAATCTGAGAGTTTGTATATGCAGTGCAGGATGTTCCATTTTCTTTTCATTCATTATTGAATATTGGGAAAACACAGAATTTTGAAACGTCAAAAAAGCCTGTGATTGACCCTGCTGGAAGAAAGTGACTAATTCTGGTTAGGCCTTTGGATATCATCTTGTTATAAGAGCAATCCACAAATATAAGCAATTGGAAGGATGCTGCATCATCTGGTGTACTCCCATCTTGCATATCTAATCCATGACTACCCCTAGGCTTAAACGGTCAAACTTAAGTAGCTTTCGAGCATTTTCTGTGTTTCAGGGTAGATCCTCCAAGGCCTACTCTTCCCATAGCAGCAAACAAAGCCAGAAACCTGGAGGAACTCACCTGGACCAGACTTTCATACTCCTACAGGTGCACAGAGAAGCTGAGCAGGTCTGGAGAGGGCATCTGGATGACAAAGCCCTACCAGGAAGAGAACACCATTGCTTATCCCTAGTCTTGAGCACATCAAGCTAAGAACCTTGAGAAGGCCATAGGAGGGCAAAATCCTCAGGACTGCTTCCAGGGCCAAAACTGAAAACCACCGAGTTCCTTTCACCTCTCCAAAACTTGACTTTTTCCTCTATACTCCATGAAAAGCTGTTGGTCAAGACCACACAACCATATCCAACACTGCCCATATTGTTAATAAATAAATAAATCTATTCCTGGTATTTTAAGAAGCAATTTGTGGAAAATAATTATTAATAATAATTAACAAAATAACTTTTAACAGTTAGTTTTCAGTCAGCCCACATGAATATCACTGCTTTTTACCTTTCCTGCACTGAGTTCTCAAAACAAATTGCTTCAGTTTTCAAAATAACTGGAATGTATTAGTGACAGCTGACCCTGATTATTTGGTTTTTAACCAAATAAGTGGAAGTAAATTCTGCCCTATATCTGCCTGAAAGGTCTCAAGAGAATCATAGAATAGCTCAGGTTGGAAAAGAGCTTAAAGATTATCAAGTCCAACTGAAAGCTAACCGTATTACCCTAATAGCAATTCATCACTAAGTCATGTTCCCAAGCAATGTTAAAAGTTAAAAGGAAACCATTAGTCAGAGAGCATTTCTAAATTTATTGTAATATAATTAATGTTATGTCCACAATGCCTTGTGCACAGAATATTCAACTGAAAAGACTGAATTTTGGAACATAACAAGTAAAAGAACCTTACTTTACAGAGTAAAATACAAAATATTAATAACTAGTGTGGCAACTATGTTGAAAAAACAGTGTTTTTTAGCAGAGAATTTGCTCTATCAAGAATTTGCTCTTTGTATCTGTTGAAGTTTCCGTGGAAATAAGTAGGAGGCATTAATTTTAGTGCACCCACTGTATATTTAAACACCTGACTTTTCCACCACAGTCCACATGGGACACTTTGAAGCATTCTTTCCCATTGAATTCCCTTTCCATAATCCAATTTCAATTCATCATTGTTCTAAAATTCATAGTAGTTTGTACTGCAATGTACTCATGTGAATAATACCAGTAAACACATCACCAAACTTTCCTAATCCTTAAAAGAATGAGGTTAACTTATTCAGTAAAATGAGGAATGTATGAATTCCTTATTCAAAGTGTAGCATCTTTTGCCCATTTTAGATGGGCAAAATCCCCCAAAATCATCAGCTGATAGTACCAAAATAAAGAAAAAGAGATTCCTATAAAACAGAATGAAAGTACAAATAGTATTGCCCCTCACTGGAACTGGGAGAAGCTTTATTATCATCCAAGCAAGCTATGTTTTTCACCACCTAGAGATACATCAAATATAAGGAGGTGGAAAGTGATAACTCCACTTTCCAAGTGAGAGATCAGCAATTTGTGCCAGAGCTGTGCAGAGGTTTGAATGGTGGAAGGGCAGTCATGTTCACAAGCGGACCATGCACCTGCCATATTGCTGGATGTCACTTTCCAGCTGCTACTTCCCAACACCAAGGAAAAATTCAGTGAACTGCATGTGTGTGTGGCAGCTTCACTGGAGCAGGCCCAGCCAAGTGTGCGTTAATTGTCACTGATTTTTAGCAGCACGAGAGCTCCTACTGAAATACGATAATTTCATGGAGATAGAACTGATACCAGATGTAGTGCAAATGAGAGCAAGAGAATTGCTTGTGGGAGGGTGCCAGAGCTCCCAGCCTCTCATCTGCTTCATTGGGATTTTCTGTGGCAAACTGACCTGAACAGGAGCACGATGCCTCAGGGTTCCTCTGGGCTGCAGCTTGCTCCTCCCTTACAGTGAAAGCAGGGGGGACTGTACTCACAGAGCAGATCCTGCACTCAGTAAGTTGATGCTGATATCCTTCAGCTGTACCACACAACAGGAGAAAAGATAATAATTCAGCAGTACCTTCCAAAAGGCAAAAAAAAAATAATTAAAAAAGCATCCTGAGATTACATGCTAGTCTGCAAGAACCAGAAGCATTTATAAAAGCCACTATTTAGGCAGCACATGCTGTAACAGAGCAGTAGCTGAAATCCGTAGCATCTGTCATCTCCCCAAACAGCAATAATGTCAGGTGTGACACTGCAAGAATTGGCCCTGCAGCCTGGAGGCTGAGGTTCTGACCCCCAAGTATCCTGGTAAGACAGCTATTTTGCTGCAGTGTCCATAGGTTTTCAGTCAGAATGTGTTTAAGGTAACTTACCCTGTGGTTACTGCTGTGCACTCCTCTGAAAACGTCCTCCAGCCACTCATCTGGCAAGGATGTAATTTACACACCCGTCACCTCAATAGCACTTGTCAAGTTATGATTTCTAGGAAGAAAGCTCCAAGCTATTTCCAAGCTTGTGCTTCATGTGTTTTATTGCTGGGGAATCCTTGGATTCTTCCACTTTCAAAGCATTAGAAAGGTAATTAACTCTGAATAGCACTAATTATTACAGCCATGTAACCATATTTAAAATACAAAGATAAATTACTAATATGAACCTCACAGATGACTGCACACAGGTGCAGTACACTTGCTGTTTCAGATGTAGGCAGGAAAAAGGTTGAAATGAATACACACTTCTGCCATTTCTCTGCTTTCAAAGACCACAAGCAGTGATTTCTCAGTGGGACAGAAGGGAATCCCAACAAAAAACCCTACCTTGGCCTGGCACATAACCAGCAGGGCTTTACAGCATTTGGAAAACCATATGAAAGGTGTTTAAACAGTACTTCTGGGAAGGCCAGACAGGGTGGCCAGTCCTGTCGTCATCTCCTCCATGACAGGTGGAGGGATTGATAATTGTGTCTAAAATATGTAGTGCTGAGGGTTGTGCTGCCCATCATTGCAGAGGTGATGTTCTGTCCACCAGTGGAACGGCCATGGACCTCCATCAGTCTTGTGATGGCTGGCCCATGGCTCATGCTCATCTGGGGAACTTGGGCTTTTCTGACACCATTGCTGGTGCAACAGTAAGCATAAAACCAGGTGGGAAAGAAAGTATTTAATTTCTTTAATGTAGTCAGGATTATCCACCAGTACCTGAAAATCTGAGGGGTACTCCCTGGGTATTTTCTTAGTACCCAACTGCTCTCTTATAGTGATAACACAATTGTTCATCTTTCAGAAGAGTATGACCTTAATCTGGAGAGATCTGCACAACCACCATTAAGAATAGTTGCTGCACTTAGCTAATTTTTTTCCTCATCCTCTCTGATGTATCCAAATACCTTATGCCAAGAATAGATTTTGCTGCAAGCTGTCTCCATCCTGTCTGCTGATCCTCTACTCAGATCTCTGGCCATTAGGTTGAATGGTTATGATGACTCTGCAGCCACCTTTAACATGCAGAAATAAAGTAACACAGAAAACATAAAGAGAAGAGAATGTAGCAACCTTTTTGTGAAATCAACTTTTTTTGTGAAACCTGTATTTTTAAAGAACTCTGTAAAGAGAAAATTGTCTGCGAGAGGAAACCTTTCTGTGTAGCTGTTAGCTCTTTCATCCCACGTCTAAAAGCCTTTAACATTGTTAAAATTGTGAACGTGGTAGAGAAATGAATTCTGATGCAGGGAATCAAAGGTACTGATTCACGAGCATTTGCTTGAGGGTACCTGAAACAAAACCAGCAGACAGAAAAGGGGGACATGGACTTGTAGTCACTGTGATTAATCTTTGGGTTTTATGTTCTGAACCGATGTGACATTCACTACCTACTAAGATCAAGCAGGTGACACAGCAAAAAAAGGTTGAACAGACTGATTGGGGAATTACAATGGTGGAATTAATTGGTTTTATCTATTTCCTTCCCTTCCACGTTGACAAGGTGGCTGGTAGTTCCACACTCTCATTTACCTGCCTGAAACCATGATTTATACATATTCTAGCCTTCTAAGTAAAATCAGTTCAGCATTACCAAGACTGTGCACAAACACTTTCCCATACCCTTTACGTACTAAGATTAAGAAAAAATTTTAAAAAAATCAGTTCTCCCAGTTACACAGCTAGGAGACACAGTTTTATAATGCCCATCAGCCTGTCACTTGACCTTGATTCAATCTCAAAGCTGCCTCTCTTTTAGTCCAGTCAATGAAACTATACTCATGCTATGACCCATGTCAGAGACAGAAGATGGGTATTAGTATGTACCTGAAAGGCCCTGGTCTAATCTTACTGTCTTCTATTGTAGCCACCATGATACCAAAAAATTCCTAAACAAAACAGCTCAAGCAAAAATAAACAGAAAGAACTCAATAATGAAGAACTCCACTTACTAATGAAATAAAACGTATACACATGCATATAAATACATATTTGTTTACATATGTAAATATGCATATATCATTACACATATGGAGAGCTCTTTATAAATAAAAGGGAGCCATGTTGCCCAGTATCCCACTTCTGGCCACATTCAGCCTCAATTTCTGACCAGATGCATGTCAAGTGGTGTTTTGATTATACCCTCCCAATTTCCAGCAGTCTGTTGGGCATTTAGCACTATTAATCCCTTGGAAGTCAGAACCTAGTCTTCCCTATGCTCTTCATAAGGTACTCTGGTGCTTTAATACTAGGAAAAAATGTGCTAAAAATTTTAATATACCAATATATTTATGACTTCTTTCAAGTGTAGTTTCATCTGATTTTTTATTTTTATTTTTTTAAGTACACCCAGAACACCCAGAACAGCAGCCAATACAGTTCAGCAAGATTTTTGAAAGAACTTCATATCTTCCGGGGAAGATGCTGTGCCTTCAGTAAGAATTTTCTAGCAGAATGTACTGCAACTGACAGCAGGATTACATCTAACCTCAGGATGTTGCTATGGTATTGTACAAGTTTTTTATTTATTTATTTATTTTAAGTGCTAGAAAGTCAAACTACTCAGAGAAAGAGTCAAAAGTTGATCTGCTGGGAGAAGAGATTGGAAAAAAAATATTCTTCGTTAACTGGTTTAGGGGCCAGT